CAACAACAATAACAAATACTCGTATTTTTCTTGTTTTTTAAGCTCTACAGTCGAGAGAATAAAGCTCACATTAACACATATATGCCTTCCAACAGTGCTATATATAAACACAGTGAACTGGCTGCTATGCCAAACAATTTATCTGTATAAACCCCGCTACAATGACGGGCATTATACCTCCTTGCATCAGGAGCTGGAAGTTGTCACAGGAAGCCTCAGCCTCACTGTGGTGTGGAGGTTACTGGTCTTGCCAAACCATCAATACATTCACAACTTGGTGAACTTAGTGTGCATTATTATTATTATTATTATTATTATTATTATTATTATTATTGTTATTATTATTGTTATTGTTATTATTATTATTATTAATATTATATTATTATTATTTTTATTATTATTATTAATATTATTATTATTATTTTATTGTTATTGTTATTATTATTATTATTGTTATTGTTATTGTTTTATTATATTATTATTATTATATTATTATTATTATTGTTATATTGTTATATAGTAATAATATTATTGTTGTTTTATTTTTATATTTATTATAAATAGTTTTATTATTAATTGTAAATTATTATATTATATCATATATATTATTAATATATTATTATTAATTATTATTATTATTATTATATTATTATTATTATTATATACTAACTTAAAACCTTTATCACAGTACTTTACACTGCGAGTCTTGATTATTTTTTTATATTTTTTATTTAAAAACATAGAACAAATACAATTAATGTATACCAGATATAAAATTAAAAACCATATAGTATACAAAACTCTAGTACACAATCCCGTACATTATAAGAACACCATAGATCATGTCCATATACAACCATATACATAACCACAACCATATACATAACCCACAACCATATACATAACCCACAACCATATACATAACCCTACAACCATATACATAACCTACAACCATATACATAACCCACAACCATATACATAACCTACAACCAAATATACATAACCTACAACCATATACATAACCTACAACCATATACATAACCCACAACCATATACATAACCTACAACCATATACATAACCTACAACCATATACATAACCCACAACCATATACATAACCTACAACCATATACATAACCCACAACCATATACATAACCTACAACCATATACATAACCCACAACCATATACATAACCCATACAACCATATACATAACCCACAACCATATACATAACCCACAACCATATACATAACCCACAACCATATACAAAACCCCTACAACCATATACATAACCCACAACCATATACATAACCCACAACCATATACATAACCCACAACCATAAAACATAACCTACAAACCCTCCTTTTACAATAATCATTATTGCCAGTGCAGACACAGCTGACACTTCTACCCCCCCCCCCCCCCGTATGTACAGTCACCGTTCTAAATAACATACATTAATTATCCTAATTAATGGTCATACACTGACCTCATCAAAACCTTAATGAGTATTTACCTAAGAGTTGGTAGTGCATGAACAAGACACAAAAATATAAATTTACAGACTAAAACAGATATGAAACATTACATTCCTATACACATACACTGTAATAATATCAAATATTAATGTTAACCATGAATTACAAACATTCAAAACATTGCATATCGTGAAGTTCACACTCAAAATACAAGATAATACACCACATGCCACATTAGCGGTACAATACTAGGCTATGTAAATAATTTAAAGAACCCAAGACTAGAACATGAATAAGTATTATCCAAAAGGTTCATCATGATTTTAGTAACTTAACAACACCAAACTCCTTATAACACCTAACACGCCACATACAAACTTACCAAAACGTAACATACATTCCACAAGACTATACTTTCGCTGTGCCTTCTAGCACGTGCCTAACTAGTATTACTTACAAATATAGACACAAAAATTTTAATCTAGAGAACTAATCCTTATCCACACATGTTTACATAATAGGTAATTACTTTAAATCTGATGCAGGAACGCGTAACAAAAATGGCAAAATAACTCAGTTCTTGAGTCTTGATTATTACCTCGCCATTTTCTCGCTCATTTCCGTCTCCAATAAAAAAATACAAGCTTTTATTGGGACAACTTTTCGATCCTTTATTAAGACGACGTTTCACTCTGTGTAGTTAGTTTCTCTATGCTGTACTGTAGTGTAACCACGATCAGTGAATAACTTAGCTGTCACAGTGGTTAAACTTTCATGTTGAAACCACCACCACCGTGGCTGAGTGGTGCAACATTGGGCATGCCACACACACTGTACCTCCGGTCGATTCCCCCTTCATTTTTTTCTGTTTAACATGCCTCTGGTGATGTTCATGGTCTCTTAGTTTAGGTAGAAGTGAAGACGTGAGCTTGAGGCGTCCTAATCTAATCTTATCCAGTTTAAACCCATTACATCGAGCTATTTCTTGGTTAGTGGAAGGCGTCGATTCAAAGACCAAAAGTTCGACTCTCGGAAGACGTTCTCGTGTTCATTCTGAGAAACAAAATACTAGCGGATACTTCCCTCTGATGATTCTCTTCTTGGAGCACTACGAACACTTCTTTATAATATATAATAATAATCTTCATTTTTACATGATACAACTTATACAGACCACAGCTGACATCAGTGACATACTGTATAGAAAGTCACTGATCTGTGTACGTTACCAACAAAGCTACGGGATACCAATCGTAATGACACGATTGGATTGCAAACAAACCATACCACGGGTGGGGTTTGAACCCGTGAGTCACATAACTCCAGACCGTCGCGTTAGCCACTGGACAGCTAGCTACCTAGCTGGTCCAGTGGTTAACGGGACGGTCTGGAGTTTTGTGACTCTGATCACGGGTTCAAACCCCACCCTTGGTATGGTTTGTTTCACGTGTAAAATACTGTGACAAGAAATAAGTCACACAGACTTACTGACTGGTGCTATAAGCCGACAAGCTTGTATAATGACAGTGATGGGAAAGACGGTTACATTTCGCTCATTCTTTGTCGAAACGTCACCTGAAATAAAAACTTGCCTCCACAATTTACACCCGTGGAGTTTAATCGTCTGCTGCTCCTTCTGGCGTGAGTCCAAGGCAGCAGCAGGTGTATGAGGGTTCCTTCATGTTGCTTCTCCTCACTCTGCTACTGTTGCTTCCCCTTACGCTGCTACTGTTGCTTCTTACGCTGGTACTGTTGCTAATGTTGGCCAAGACCGTGGTCCTCGCACGGGTCTTAATCTTGTAATGACCTGTCTGTGGCTCCCGAAAGAGCATGTGCTGCCCAAGCACTGTTCTGGAGACTACATCTGGTGCGCCTCATAGGCAAGTGAACGAGTCAGTCTGACGTGAAGTATCTGAGGTGGCTACTAGACGTGAACGTTAGAGAATAGGGAGGAGGAGGTGTGTGTGTGTGTGTGTGTGTGTGTGATGGGCGAGGGGGAAGCTGTCAGTGTTTACCACGGGAATAAATATTATTATTGTCAGTCACTGTTGCTCGTCATGTTCTCTTCTGTCACTTCTCACTCTTCTCCTTCCTCGCCTCTGTTCTTAATCATCCCTGCCTCTCTTCCGCTCCTCTTTACCTCGCCTCAATCCTCACTCATCCCTACTTCACATCCGTAAGAGATTTTTCATTAGCAAAATAGGATGCATCGACAATGAGAGAACGAGAGCTGTTTCCCAGTAAGGCAGTGAGGATTTTCCCAAGTGTTTCGTTAAGGACTCAGCAGCTACGGGAGCTTCGGAGGTTTCGTTCCAGCAGAATTGGAGTTGGAGATAAATGGTATAAAATACCAACACGATGGAAAAAATCAACACAAATACAGTATAATGCGATCCTTTATTGATTACGTTTCGCCCACACAGTGGGCTTTATCAAGTCACGAACAGATCTACACGAGTATATATAAGGCGGAGAGTCTGGTGGAGAATGCTGGGTAAGTTGGATTTTAGACGGACTTGCGAGTGACCGCCGAGGAAGTTTTGATCTGAGACGGACCTGCACTGGACGGGTGAGTGTGTATGTTGTTACGAAGGATAATAATGAAGTTTCTTGACAAGGAATTCAGCTATGTTATAGAACCTGGAATCCAGCTGATTCCAGAGCTGGAGTTGGTATTACTGTAACTCGGAATTTTCCTCACTCAGGATAAATAAATTTTCCACGAGGGTGTCTTACAGTTACGCACACATCGTTAGGACTTGGGTAATGTCATCTATTTATCAATTCCTTTTTTGTGAGGCAGTTGAACACGGAGGAAGACACTGAGGGAATTTTGAGGCGAGCAATCATACAACACTTTTAATACCGAAATGTATCACCCGGGCAGCAGATGGACGAACATATACAACCGGTGTAAAGAAACGCCCAATGTTTCTACCCGCGCTGGGAATCGAACACAGACTCTCGCCGTGTAAAGCGGGAGCTTTAGCGATCAGGCCACGGGGCACCGTGATTCTTATATGAAGATTGAGACACTTATGCAGCATATGGAAATCTTTATTCAGGAAAAGTTTCGCCACACAGTGGCTTCATCAGTCCAATACAAAGAGGAAGGCGTAAGGAGAGGAGGAGAATGAGGTAATCAGTCCCTCAACCTGGAGTCGATGTGTTCAGTCCATCCATCCATCAATCTACAAGATTGATGGACTGAACACATCGACTCCAGGTTGAGGGACTGATTACCTCATTCTCCTCCTCTCCTTACGCCTTCCTCTTTGTATTGGACTGATGAAGCCACTGTGTGGCGAAACTTTTCCTGAATAAAGATTTCCATATGCTGCATAAGTGTCTCAATCTTCAACTTGTCGGTTTTTCAAACCATTCATCACACACATTCTTATATGAAATAATGAGGATGTTGAGGCGAAAGATGCGGTGATAATGTTTACAAATACAACAGAAAGTTTCTACCCTCAGTTAAGGATTATCAGTCCCATATTGCAGAAGGTAAAAAAGAATATTCACGGCGATTGAGTGCCGGAGATGAAGTTCCTGTATTCCTGGCGAAGGACGGGATCCTTGGGGCACCACTCATCACTGGCCTTCAAGCTCTTGACCAGGGCTTCCCAGAGTGAGGCATCTCCGACTAGTCGACGCGCCACCTCTACCAAGAACAGGATTGGCACCATGGTGAACGGAAGGGCAGCCAAGCAGATGCCAAAGTCTGAGGAACACGAAGCATAAACAGATTAGTACAATAATTAATCACAAATAACTCTAGAATGCAGTACACTCAATAAGCAGCCAATTATTATTATTATTGGTATCATTGTTACTACAGATTGTGGGAATAAGATGCATAATCAAGACATTTATTAAAATGGTATAAAATACCGACAGGTTGTTGGGTAAGACACATGTGCAACAGTTAGGTATCTTTATTTCGAAACGTTTCGCCTACACAGTAGGCTTCTTCAGTCGAGTACAGAAAAGTTGATAGAAGCAGAAGAGACTTGAAGACGATGTAATCAGTCCATCACCCTGTACTCGACTGAAGAAGCCTGCTGTGTAGGCGAAACGTTTCGAAATAAAGATACCTAACTGTTGCACATGTGTCTTACCTAACAAGACATTTATTGAAGGAGACGTATCGCCACTGGTGGCAAAACGTCTTGCTCAATAAATGTTTTTAATTGCTCATGTATTTTATTTTCATTGGTATTATATTCATGGGAAGCGCCAAATCTGCAAGGGTTACAATGCGCTTGTAAGGGGAAGGGAGGTAATTAAATTTAATAACTCCAATTCCTTAGGGCAGAGCGGTCAAAATCTCACCTATCATGGTAGACGAAAAGACGTAGGAGCCGACTGCCAGAGGCTTGGCAGTGATCAAGGTGTGCATGAATGTGATGGAGAGCAGCACGGGGATGAGGAAGACCCAGGAGGTCTTGCAGAACAAGTCAGTCTTCCTGCCCAGCATGAACTCAATGTCGCGGCAGAAGTTGTTGACGCCGTACACCCAGTGCACAGCCACTATCTCGAACACCACCAAGACGAAGACGATGAAGCCCTGCGAAGATAATAGAAGAACACTAAGAAATGCGAATCACTGCAGCAGGCCTTCTGGTCCATGGGTCCTTGTTAAATCCAAACCCTCTTAAGAAAAATATTCGCCCAACCCGTTATCAATGTTACCCGTTATCAATGTTATGAATGTTATCAATGTTAACTCAAGTTCAAGGCCCACTTAAATCCAACCCCTCTTACTCTTATATTTGAAGCCAGCCAAGATTTTAGAGTCTATGACTACTAGGTAGACTTTTTGAAAAATAAAATACTCTGAGAACTGCCGTATGTTAAATACGGCAAAACCATTTATATAAACAATATTCAATAAGAAAAAATGCCATGCTTACCCCACCATAGTAATTGATGAGCTCTAGGAGATAGTGGCCCTGAGGGGTGACGTAAATCAGACCTAGGAGGAAGCCTAAAATGCACACTATAAGCGTCACAATCGATTTCTTGAAGCAAGGGAAAACATGACATGTTACACTGGTGATGGTGCTGGTGAGCGCAGAGGCGGTACTCAAACCCAGAATAAACAACATCAGGAAGAATAACATGGAAAATAGCTGTGGGACGTAGGGGAACGTGGACAATACGTCAGGGAAACTAACGAAGGCTAGCGACGTACCGCCACCCTTGACGACGTCTTTCACCTCGACGCCCAGTTCCTCAGCCAGGTGCCCTAAGATGGCGAAGGTGATGAAGCCAGCCAGGAGTGAAGTAAGAGTATCAGTGAGGCAAATGACACTGGCGTCGCGGTACAGATCGTGGCGGAATTTGTTATACGAGGAGAACATGACGATGGTGCCGAAACCAACGGAGAGGCTGAAGAATGACTGGTCTATAGCAGCGTACCACACCTGGAAATGATAATCCATTAGCAATTCATCCAAGAAAATATTAAAAAAACAGACATTCGTTCTGTGTGGGTAGTGACAGATATACCACAGAGTAAATCCGTCAAAAGACGGAACCGGAACATCTTAACTTCCTCCGCATAAGTGTGAGAATGTTGTGACTAGAGAGTAATGGAGAGAAACGGTATGAAATACCGACACAATTGGAAAAGACACAAATGCAGTAAAATGACACTATTTACTTAGAGCGTTTCGCTCACACATGGATTTATCAAGCTACGAACGTTGTCAATAAAGGAACGGATAAGACTACACTACTGTGTCTGTTACTACTAGAAAGTAATGTTGTCTTACCGAGGGATCCACAAGTTTTTCCCATCTAGGTGTAACGAAGAAGATGACACCGTTTAAAGAGCCTTGCAGCATGACACCGCGGACGAGCATGATGAGAAGCACAGCGTAGGGAAAGATGGCAGTGAAGTAGGCTGTTTTGCTGGAGCAGTGTATACCATTGATCAACACCGCGAAGAGGACCATCCAGGAGAAGAGTAAACACAGTGTGAGATGCCACTCGGGAGCATCCAGTCCGTTCTCAACTCCCATGGGATCTATTTTCAGGACCTCCTTCCTGTTGGTAAAGATGTAAAATGTATCAAGAGAAGATAAGAAAGGAATAATACTGTAGCAGGCCTATTGGCTTAGATAAATACACGAGTATTTATCTAACTTTCCTATATCCTTTCTAAATCTAAAGTTAATCAATTTGAATTGGTTGTTTCGAGTTCTTTCTCAGAACCTTATATATCTGTTATATTTTCTTTATACATATATACCACAGTTTTATATTGTGAAGACGAAAGTTCTACAATTGTAACTAATAACTTACGAGAAATATTCCTCAGCAGCGGAGGTCAAGTTGGTGACGCTGATGCCTAGTGTCGCCGCAAGATCATGTGCGTTGGTATTCAAGTCCACACATGTCTCTGATGACCAGCTTCCACACAGCGACCACGGCAAGACGCTGGAGAAGGAGGCAAAGAAGTAGTAGATGGTGAGGGCCATCAAGGAGACGTAGTAGGTTACTACAGCCCAGGTAGCCAATGCCTGACTGTATCCCAAACCTGCGGGAAACAACGAGTATTTTATTATTGTGACACTTAATAAAGACTAATAGAGGAATGCTGCAGCAGGCCTATTGACCCATATTTAACAGATTCTTCTCAAATTCAACCCATATCACCCATAAATTTATTTAGTGTAGCTTTAAAACTACGCAAGATTTTGGATTTAGTAGCCCTAATAACCCGTTCTACTCGACATTAAGTACAATACGTACATGGTCAAACAAAGAAAATGTGCAACATCTGCGTATCTATTTGTAGACGTTTTGTCATCCAGTGGCTTTATCAATATAAATTACCTCGTATTTTCTATATAGCTCTACAGTCTTCCCATTATGTCCTTGAATTTGCCTCTGGATGGCAAAATATCTACACATAAAAATATCCAGACGTTGCATGTATCTGATTGTTTTATCGGTATTGTTGCCTAAATGTTGCCTACGTGTCTTATCTACCAACCTGTCGGTATTGTATACCATTTGATAATCACTCATCGGTATTGTATACCATGCACAACAGAATGTTACACGGAATGTTGAACAGAATGTCATCTCTCACCTCTGAATGCCGGTGAGAGGTCCCACACCTTGATGGAGCCGGAAGAAGAGAACTGACCCATACACAGTTCCATGTAATAGAGAGGCCTCCCGATAAAGATAATCACGAGAATGTACAGGATGAGGAAGGCTCCTCCGCCGTTCTCCAGGGCCACGAACGGGAACCTCCAAACATTTCCAAGACCCACGGACATAGCGATGCTGGACAGAAGGAACTCCCGGGAGCTGTACCACTTCTCCGTCTCTGGCTCCTAGAAAAGTAGGAGTCTACCGTTTTTATTTCATGTATCAATGATATAAAATGTATATAATGTAGCAAGACACATGTACAAGACTCGGGTATCTTCATTATCTTTGATTCAAAAGATCAGCACACTGCATTATATGCTTATTAATATGTTTATTATGCTTATTGCAAAACAAAGTTCATTTTTACGTAGTTGACTATACGAAACAACGTTTCAGTCCCTTTGACTCATTTCGACCGGACAATGGTGCAAGATGGGACGAAACGTCTCCACAAGGTTCCTCTCTTAATTAGTGCTGGAGTTTAGTGAATTTTTCCATAGTTTTCAAGCTATGAATTAGACCTAGTTAAACACTAACTCAAGAAGAGCTAATACAATGCACTTTTCTAGTGAAAGCTATAAAAAAGTGCTGAAATACATTGATAAGCAAGACACATGCAACAAATTATCATCTTATCGATATTATGTACATTATCGGTGGAGAACTTACCTGGTGTACACTCGCTCCCACAGTGTCCTCAACGCTGCCAGCGTCACCATCCTCGACAGACTCCTCATCCTTTCCCTGTAGGAATGAAACAGAAGTTGATTTTTCTTCTAAACAGTACGATAATAAGATAATAGGATACACATTGTAGATTAATTGCTCGGAGAACCGACAAGTTGATGACTGAGACACGTGCAACTTTTTGGGTACCCGAATGTTACAACAGTAGTAGTGATTTGTAGATGAATGGTTCAGTAGTAGTGATGTTGATGGTATTATTTAGCAATAACTAGGAAATGAAGTGAGATACTTTCCCAAGTAACCAGAAAGTTGTGATAAATAATACAGAAAGCGTAACTACTTACCAAGAAAAGTGAGACGAGTTGTAATGCTTTCTAAAAGTCATAAAATAAATACGATGAAAGTCATGAAAGTGAAAAGGATTTAGAAAAGGGCTGTATAATCCTCCGGGTTTAGCGCTTCCCCCTTGATTATAATAATAATAATAATAATAATAATTTAGAAAAGGGCAATGTACAATATAGTTAAATCACATGCAAATCCTTCCAGTATTTGTATAAAGAAACATTAAATTTTTTTTTTTAAATGGGTTAAATTACACATACCTTATTTCTGGAAACCAATTTCATGAGTGTTGAAAGCATTATGTCCATTATTTTCTTCCCTACTGAGCAATATCTTACAAACACCCGCACTCTCTGCTTCCACTGTAAGAAGTCACTAGCACCGGGTGATGCCGGGTTATATATATCACCGAATAGTAAAAGTGGTCAGGTGAAAATGGATTGTGAAGGACCTGCCTAGTATGGACCAACAGGCCTGCTGCAGCGTTCCTCCTTTCTTATGTTCTTACGTAAATAAATGGTATAAAATACCGACACAATGGAAGCATAAAAACATATGCAGTTTAATGTGAGCGTTTATTGACAACGTTTCTCCCACATAGTGGGCTTTTTTTCAAGTCACAAACAAATCTACCTGGGGTGGAAGATACGGGAGTATTTATTGTCAGGTTCAGAATATTGAGGTCAGGTGGAGAAGCTGTCTAAAATCTTGGGTAGCTTGGCAGGGGTGTTGGATAAGTTGTGAGCAGACCTGCTCACAACTTATAACAACTGTTGGGTTATTGAGGCTAGGACTTTGAGTAGTTTCAAATTTAGGTTGGATAAGTACATGAGTGGGAGGGGTTGGATTTGAGTGGGACTTGCACATCAGAGCTTATTTATTGGGTAGCATTGAAAATTGGGTTGGGGATGAATTGTAAAGGACCTGCCTAGTATGGGCCAACAGGCCTGCTGCAGTGTTCCTCCTTTCTTATGTTCTTATGTTCTTATGTGATAGAGGCTAGGACCTTAGGTAGCTTTAAGAAGAGACTGGACAAATATATGAGTGGGAGGGGCTGGGTTTGATTGGTGTTAAGGGGTACGGGAGTTATTTCTTGAGTAGCTTTAGGTAGATGTGAACAATAAAATGGTATAAAATACCGACAGATGGTTAGGTAAGACACATATGCAACAGTTAGGTATCTTTATTTCGAAACGTTTCGCCTACACAGTAGGCTTCTTCAGTCGAGTACAGGTAGATGTTTTGATAAGGACCTGCCTCGTATGGGCCAGTAGGCCTTCTGCAGTGTTCCTACATTCTTATGTTCTTATATCCAGATGTTGCACATGTGTCTTAACTTTCATATTATCGGTATTTTATACCTTTCTTGCACAGTATTGGATAAGTTGTGAGCAGACCTTCTGCAGTGTTCTATGTTCTTATGTGGGATAAGAAAGGAGGAACACTGCAGCAGGCCTGTTGGCCCATACTAGGCAGGTCCTTTACAATTCATCCCCAACCCAATTTTCAATGCTACCCAATAAATAAGCTCTGATGTGCAAGTCCCACTCAAATCCAACCCCTCCCACTCATGTACTTATCCAACCTAAATTTGAAACTACCCAAAGTCCTAGCCTCAATAACCCAACTAGGTAGACTGTTCCACTCATCAACTACCCTATTTCCAAACCAAATACTTTCCTATGTCCTTTCTAAATCTAAACTTATCTAATTTAAATCCATTACTGCGGGTTCTCTCTTGGAGAGATATCCTCAAGACCTTGTTAATATCCCCTTTATTAATACCTATCTTCCACTTATACACTTCGATCAGGTCTCCCCTCATTCTTCGTCTAACAAGTGAATGTAACTTAAGAGTCTTCAATCTTTCTTCATAAGGAAGATTTCTAATGCTATGTATTAATTTAGTCATCCTACGCTGAATGTTTTCTAACGAATTTATGTCCATTCTGTAATATGGAGACCAGAATTGAGCTGCATAATCTAGGTGAGGCCTTACTAATGATGTATAAAGCTGCAGTATGACCTCTGGACTTCTGTTGCTTACACTTCTTGATATAAATCCCAGTAATCTATTTGCCTTATTACGTACGCTTAGGCATTGCTGTCTTGGTTTAAGGTTACTGCTTACCATAACCCCCAACATGCTTACCATAACCCCCACTGGGAAGACTGTTCCACGCATCTACAACTCTGTTAGAAAACCAGTACTTACCTATGTCCTTTCTAAATCTAAATTTATCCAACTTAAATCCATTATTCCTGGTTCTTACCTGGTTCGACACCCTCAGTACTTTATTAATGTCTCCCTTGTTTATGCCCGTCATCCACTTATACACTTCAATGATATCTCCCCTCATTCTACGCCTCTCCAGAGAGTGGAGATTTAAGGCTTTAAGTCTATCTTCATACGGGAGGTTCCTTACACAGTAAATAATTTTAGTCATTGAGGAAATGGTATGGTGATACCGACAAGATGTGGAAAAAGACACTTATGTACAGTTCAGGACATTTATTAAAGGAAACGTTTCGCCACGAGTGGCTTCTTCAGTCCTAATACAGAGAAAACTAAGAAAACACACATATATATAGTGGTGGGAGTCAGGTGAGGTGAAGCGTGGGTAGAGGTGGTAATAGTAGTAGTAGTAGTAATGGAACTAAGGAGGTGAGGTTAGAGAGGGACCTGCTGGCATCAAGTAACACCAGTTCCCAGGATGGGTAATATCCTCTTGCTTAGTAATTTTGAAATACTGTAACTACCGGATTTTTGCTTTATAGTGTTACTGACAGAAATTAGTGCAGCTTCAATGCATTTTCTCCGTCTTAAGTCGTCTTCTTTAATAACTAGTTTAGCTTCATTGAATTTCATGAGGTGTCCAACATCGTCTCTATGTTGAACACATGCGTTTTTGCGGTCATCATTTCTGCAAGCATTTTTGTGTTCTGCTATTCTAATGTCCAGAGTTCTGGCTGTTTCCCCTACATATACTTTGTTACACCCCCCACATGGTATAGTGTAGATTCCTGCACTTGTCCAGAATCATGCTTGGGTTTTTGTATCAGGTTCCTAATAGTAGTTGAAGAGCTGGTAGATATTTTAGCCAGTTTTCTGTCAAACATTTTTGAAACATTAGTGGCAACGTTGCTGACCGGTAAAACGATGTAACTTGGAGGCTTTTCTTCAATTTGATAGGTGTTGGTCTTGCTGAGGATACGTGTTGCACGTTTCCTGCAGTCACGTATGAAGTGTAGGGGAAAGTGTAGTGAACTAAAAGAGTTGGTGATGTATGTACATTCTTCTTCGAGGAACTGCGGACTGGAAATTCTGTAGGCTCTCAAAAAGAAGCCAATAACTACCCCTCTTTTAGTTCTTGTGTCATGGTGAGAGAAGAAATGTAGAAGATCATTCTTGTAGGTAGGCTTCCGGTAGACTTTAAAAGAAAGTTTGCTTTCCCCTGTGCGTAAGATACAAAAACCCAAGCATGATTCTGGCACAAGTGCAGGAATCTACACTATACCATGTGGGGGGTGTGACAAAGTATATGTAGGGGAAACAGCCAGAACTCTGGACATTAGAATAGCAGAACACAAAAATGCTTGCAGAAATGATGACCGCAAAAACGCATGTGTTCAACATAGAGACGATGTTGGACACCTCATGAAATTCAATGAAGCTAAACTAGTTATTAAAGAAGACGACTTAAGACGGAGAAAATGCATTGAAGCTGCACTAATTTCTGTCAGTAACACTATAAAGCAAAAATCCGGTAGTTTACAGTATTTCAAAATTACTAAGCAAGAGGATATTACCCATCCTGGGAACTGGTGTTACTTGATGCCAGCAGGTCCCTCTCTAACCTCACCTCCTTAGTTCCATTACTACTACTACTACTATTACCACCTCTACCCACGCTTCACCTCACCTGACTCCCACCACTATATATATGTGTGTTTTCTTAGTTTTCTCTGTATTAGGACTGAAGAAGCCACTCGTGGCGAAACGTTTCCTTTAATAAATGTCCTGAACTGTACATAAGTGTCTTTTTCCACATTTTAGTCATTCTTCTCTGTATGTTCTCTAATGAGTCTATGTCCATCCTGTAGTAAGGGGACCAAAACTGAGCAGCATAATCTAAATGAGGCCTCACTAGTGATGTATAGAGCTGTAAAATAACTTTTGGACTTCTGTTACTTATACTATTGAGATAAGAACATAAGAACATAAGAAAGAAGGAACACTGCAGCAGGCCTGTTGGCCCATACTAGGCAGGTCCTTTACAATTCATCCCAGTAACAAACATTTGACCAGCCCTATTTTCAATGCGACGCAAGAAACAAGCTCCGATGTGCAAGTCCCACTCAAATCCAACCCCTCCCACTCATGTACTTGTAAGAACATAAGAAAGGAGGAACACTGCAGCAGGCCTGTTGGCCCATACTAGGCAGGTCCTTTACAATTCATCCCACTAACAAACATTTGACCCACCCAATTTTCAATGCTACCCAAGAAATAAGCTCTGATGTGCAAGTCCCACTCAAATCCAACCCCTCCCACTCATGTACTTATCCAACCTAAATTTGAAACTACCCAAAGTCCTAGCCTCAATAACCCAACTAGGTAGACTGTTCCACTCATCAACTACCCTATTTCCAAACCAATACTTTCCTATGTCCTTTCTAAATCTAAACTTATCTAATTTAAATCCATTACTGCGGGTTCTCTCTTGGAGAGATATCCTCAAGACCTTGTTAATATCCCCTTTATTAATACCTATCTTCCACTTATACACTTCGATCAGGTCTCCCCTCATTCTTCGTCTAACAAGTGAATGTAACTTAAGAGTCTTCAATCTTTCTTCATAATGAAGATTTCTAATGCTATGTATTAATTTAGTCATCCTACGCTGAATGTTTTCTAACGAATTTATGTCCATTCTGTAATATGGCGACCAGAATTGAGCTGCATAATCTAGGTGAGGCCTCACTAATGATGTATAAAGCTGTGCAAGAAAGGTATAAAATACCGACAATATGAAAGTTAAGACACATGTGCAACATCTGGATATCTTTATTGTAGTAGACGTTTCGCCATCCAGTGGCTTTATCAATACAGATTCTAGGACATAATAGGAAGACAGTAGAACTATATACAAAAGATGAGGTAATCAGTCCCTCGGCCTTGGAGTTAGTGTTCACAGCATCGTGGTGGAGGAGAGTCTGGAGCAAAGGCAAGAAGACTGGCGCTTTTTATAGGCGTCAGTGAATGGGACGGGCAGCAGACGAGGCTGTCACTGGGGTA